ATCATCTCTCACTGAAAAGAACAAGGGGGGTAAAAAGACAATGTCACCCATCAAACTCGGGGCATGTCACAGTTATCCATGTGGTATAGTGCATGCAGTAAGTTACGAGATCTCCCTTTAATTTTCTTGTTTTTGGCAGTTGTAGAATAGAAAGAAGTCCGGATCGGATCAATGATGTTACATACACGCATTTTTCAGTCATACATACATACATACAAGACACGCATACATACATACATACCTCAGGCTTTCCAGCCCCAATTTTCAGCCCCCTCTCCCATCTACCAAGTACCAACTACTTTACTACTAGTTTATCTCTTCTTCTCTTCTCTCCAGCCCGCCTGTTTCATCCGTCTTACATACACCAAAAAAAAGTGAACTAACCAACCAAAGTCAACAATTCAGAACTACTGCTTCCCTCCCGCTCCTACTAATAATAATGTTGCCCATCTATCTTACTGCGATGCCGCAATAACTTGACTGTACACGTCGTCGTTTTCACTCCTTCATTCTTCTGCTCTTCTTCCATCAATCTCGACATAATTCACTTCCATCCAATCCCTAATAGTAATTATAGTATTCTACTATCAGTACTTACCTGCTGAGGGTCACCCGGGATAATTACCGCCAACGAGACTTTCCCTCCCCCCGTTCCTGCCCCCGCTTGTCGCCCTTATTGATTTCCGCCCGCGACCACCTGATACTCCTCCTGACTCCCGCATATTATTATCCCTCTGAATCTCCTTCCCGACCCTCTTCGCGCTCCAATCTACGACCAAACGCTTGACTACGACCTCCCTGGCGATCGCATTTGTGCCTGGATGACGACCAGTACTCTACTGTGTGGTCCCATTTACCGCCGCATTCTCGTCAGGCCGGCCTCTGATCCGACTACGGGCACGCTGACTGTCGATGGTGACCTTCAACTGCCACGGTCACGTCTCTGACCTCTCTCCTGCGTGGTAACTCGATCTCCATAGCAAAGGCCCCGCAACTTCACCATGGGCAATGTTGGAAGCCGCTTAGATGACTCTGGGAACTTGTACTTCAAGGATCAGACAAGGTGTAAGTTTCTGCCCACGCGGCGCTGGTACCAAATGCTCGCGCCCTTGATGGTCCCTATTTTTTGTCCTTGTCCTTGCCCTTGTCTCCTTCTCTTTCGTTGTTAACCCGATTTACGCCTACTAGTCACAATCGCTTCCGTGACCATAACGAATAGCAAACGGCGCGTGCTTTTAAGCCTTGTACCGAACTCCTTCCCCGCGACGAGATATGCTGCCAAGCGTGAGACCGGCGACGACAGCCCAATAGAATATATACAGGTAATCAGCTGAATCTCTCCTGAGACCGTTGCCATTACAGGCGCAACCAGTCATGCCCTTTCAGAAGCTAACCACTGCTCTCGTCGACCATTATCAGGATCCCGATGTTTCGCCGTCTGCCCCTGTGCCCACCTTCCTTCTGCGATTGAACAACGAAGACGAGTTGAATTTCAATTTCACATTTATATTGAGACAGACACAAACGGGGACCGCTGCGAATTCGACCGTCAATGGTGTCTCAACATCATTGCCCGAGGTCGCCGACACGGTGCTCACAGGCCTTACGTTTGCGCATGCGCCCAACTCAAGGGAATTAGATAACTTGATCACCAGAGAATTCCATGCCAACCCCAACTTGCAAAATAACTCCAATGTACAGCTAGTCGGAGACTACTCCACCGCAGGTAGTCCCTCGGTTCAGTTCGACTGGTCCTGGAAATGGAAACCCCCCAAAGCGGTCGAAGATAAGGGGGGTGGTTGGAGAAATAGCTGCAGCTTTCTGGATTATGATCAAAGAGCGAACCGGTTGAACACCCTTGCTCACTTCTCATTTTGGGTGCATAATACAGTACGCTCGCTTCCAAGCCCACAATTTTCTTCCCCAAACCTGGAAGTCAATGTCCCTTTCCGCAATCGCATTCCCTCGTCGCAGTCCGTTCTCTCCCATTCTAGCGATGCGGACGCCGCATCCAATTCCCAAAATGTCCCTGTTACACCCCCGGAAGCTGGTGATACAACAGCCACACTGCCCCACGTCTCAGCACCGCCTCCACCTGTCAAAGTCGACCTTCCTCATTCGCGTCCCGGAGAGGACATGAGTGTGGTTGAAGATGGTCCGTTATTCCGGGCTACTATGAAAGCTCTGGAACAGAAGACAGGGAATATGCGTGCTAAGATAAAGAAGGTCCTCAAGAAAGCTGAAGCCGCTCAGCAGGCACAGACTGCCTGCAACGAAGCCGTGGAAGCCTTCCTTAACGCATTAAAGGAAGCCTCAACCTCCAACGCGAACGCCATACAGCCCGCCCTTGATCATTACTTTGAAAGGACTGCAGTTCAAATACTGAATTACGAGCGTTTGAATACCATCCAGCTCCAGAGGCTCGTCATAGAACCATTGGTTAAGCTATACAACAATGACATTAAACAGGCGGAGGCGAAGAAGAAGGAATTCGAGGAAGAGAGCAGGGATTACTACGCCTATGTTAGCCGCTATCTCGGTCAACGCCAGGATTCGTTGAAGGAAAAGAAGCGGGTGGAAAGTGATTCCAAGTATCAGGCAAAGCGACGCAACTTCGAGTTGAAGCGCTTCGACTACTCGTCCTTCATGCAGGATCTTCATGGTGGCCGTAAGGAGCAAGAGGTTCTTTCCCATCTTACCAAGTATGCAGACACCCAAGCGAAGAGTTTTCTGGCAGCCGCCAAACAGGTTGATGATATGGTTCCTCAGCTGGATGCACTTATCCATGAGGTGAACCAAGCGGATAAAGAATTCCAGTTCCAGCGGACAGAAAGGGAAGAAAAGCGAAGGAATCTGGAGAAAAGCAGCAACATGTATATCGAGCCTGACTCTCTGGCCAATGCGGGTGCATCATCGGTACATTCAGGAAATGGTGGCGGCAACCCAAAGTCTGAGAACGAGCTCGGACGTGCAGATAGCACAGGATCCCAACTGCGAGGTGTCATCAGCAACAGTTCTTCGATTTTGCCGCAGACCAACTCTGGCAGCCATTCAGGCGGTCCCTCGATGCTCGCTTCTACCAGTAGTTCAACCGGTATGTACCCTATGGAGTCTTTCTGGGGAGTGTACATTCTTCATCTCAAGTTATATATTAGCCTTATCACTAACCGGTATCGTCACAGGCCAGCAGAGGAAGGAAGGCTTACTCTGGGCACTGTCGCGCCCAGGATCTCATATTGACCCTAAGGGAATAAACAAGCAGGCTTGGCATAAGTAAGCTTGTCCTCTACTCTGACAGACTCGGGCTTCCCAACTGATCTTTGTCTCGCAGATTCTGGATCGTTTTAGATCAGGGAAAGCTCTCGGAGTATAGCAATTGGAAACAGAAACTGGATTTGCACATGGATCCTATCGACTTGCGAATGGCTTCCGTGCGAGAAGCTCGGAATGCGGAACGCCGATTCTGTTTCGAGGTTATCACACCACAGTACAAGCGCATCTATCAGGCAACATCAGAGGAAGACATGGCCAACTGGATTCGAGCTATCAATAATGCTCTGCAGAGCGCCGTGGAGGGCCGCGGCATGTCTCCGCCCCCAGTCTCGTCCGGCAATGACAACGCGTCCATTGGCCGCGATATTGGCTCAGTGCTAACCGGGAAGAGTACTTCGTACACTGTTCAACACTCCCAGTCAACAGGGTCCAACAACAGTGTCACCCGTCGTACAACTGTGGGTGCAAGACCAAGCTACGTACGCGGTGACGGTCTCGGTTTTGAGGAAAATCCTTCAAAACTGCTTCAAACCATCCGAGACGCAGATCAGGGTAACAATTGGTGTGCAGACTGCGGGTCTACATCCAAGGTTGAATGGGTCTCAATCAATCTGGGGATTGTCCTCTGCATCGAGTGCAGTGGTATCCACCGGTCACTTGGAACACACATTTCTAAGATACGTTCGCTTACACTAGACGTCAACTCCTTTTCGAATGACATCGTTGAAATCCTGTTGCAGATTGGCAACCGTGTCAGCAATATGATTTGGGAAGCAACCCTCGATCAGGCTCAAAAGCCGGTGGCGGCTTCTACTCGTGAGCAGCGGCTGAAGTTTATCACTGCCAAATACAGTGAACGGGCATTTGTTCAGCCACTTCCTTCCCCCTTGTCGCGGTTTACCACCTCAGACGAGACTCTTCTGGCTGCGATCAAAAGAAATGACATTCAGGGTGTGCTATATGGCATTGCCCTTCGTGCCAATGTGAACATTACAGATCGCTCTCGCAGCACGCATGCCATTTTTCTTGCATTAGCCGCAGCAGATCCAGCATCACCTGGTGCGGCCTCAAACCTCTCCGTCAAACCCAGCGGGGCACCTACAGTGAAAGCCATCCCATTTCCTATCGCAGAGCTGCTGGTCCAGAACGGGGCCGAGATTCCCTCGCAACCACCTCCTATCCCTCTTTCATCAGCCGCTCAGTTATATCTGAGCCAAAGAACCGCCAGAGTATCTGCTTTTGGTACACCTCCAGCTGCTCCATCACCTGGGAAAGCTACATCCGACTCTCTCGGTTCAGGACCTGCAATTCGGGGCGCAGGGAATGACCATGTCATTCCAACAACTCAAGCGCCGAGCTCCATAGACAGCAAGGAGCGTGAGAAACTACAGAAAAGGGGCAGCGCCGGGGCCAGGTTTGCTGGAAAGGTTGCCTCCCTGGGAATTGACCGCTAGCAAGTCCTCGCCGTGAGGGCTATTCTTACATTATTCATGAGCCCTTTATCCCAGACATGGTGGTGGGACTATTCCTTAATAGTAATTATAACGAAGCTCAAGTAGACACGACGTGATGTTGAAGCTCTTGTTTGAGACGTTTGCAGTCTGCATAGTTGCCGGCGGAACAATATGCTTCTGTCGGTATGCAACAATATACACTTAGTCTTTTTGTCTCTTTCTGTTGATATATTCTCCCCGACACATGGGGAGCATCCCCGGTCTTACTTTCTTTTGCAGCCCACCGCTATCCACCGGGTTTCGCCCTCATTTGTCTTCTCTGCCTTGCCCCTGTTTTCTTTCTACCCAACCTTTATTCTGCAGGGTGGTCATTTCACCTTTTGTCAGCTGATGTCCCCTGTTCATCTTCGGAAGTGCTGCGTAAACTCGAGCAAGATCCGGCTGGTCCGGCATCGTACGCTTGTGTTTGAGCTTTTTCACCCACCTAGACCCAGAACCGGTTCTGGAATGCTGATACTAATGAACATTCATGTCGTATATGAGCTTCTAGACACTACTGCAGACTATACACCTGATTAGTCACGATCCTATCCCTGTCAGGCTTGTAGAAAAAGTTCGCAGCGTGCCTGTCATAGACCATGACTCGTAGGTAACTTGAAATGAACCCTCCCAGGGAAAGCTAGATCCCAGAGCAGTCGTCTCGCCTCGCAAAAATCTCACACATAGGGTGGACTGCGCCACGCGGTCATAATCCCTTCGAAATATGGCGGGATGGAGCTCGCCCTTTTGGATGTGAAGAAGGCCGGAAGGCCGAATCAACGCCATCGAGAATGAAGTGGCACAGAAACACGGCAAGATGGTGGAACACGATGAGCAGAACATTATGCGACGTAGAAAGAAGGCTAAGACATCGGCTGAGAAGGAACCTATCGTAGCATGACCACCCACAATAGTAGTGGAGCCCTTGCCCATGAGAGAAAGCTGCGCACGCGAATCCATTGTAAGGGAATTCTGATTGAACAGGGGGGTGGTAATCAGCTGGCGCAGCTTCTGCAATGTGCTTTTGCCACCGTAGTTGACCTGTGTCCTTCGGTGTGACTGGTATCCGACAGGATGAGGATGATCCTCCTGCCTGGCGGTCCTGGCGGATGAAGGGACACATGCCGCCGCCGAGCCGAGTTGATAAGCGCGCATGATGTCGGCGACAGGCATCACTATCTGGCCCCCCTCGTGCGAATTACAGGGCCACCGACGCCCCCATTGGACGATCGCAGTAGCTCTACACAAGCCACCGCAGCGCCTAATACCTCAAAGGGGATGAGCTGGCGAGATGGCGTTTCCCGTTTGTGGAGACGAGCCTGGGACTTCGTGCTATGGAGTGGTGCAGGCAGATACTAACGAAAATTAGAGACAGCATCCATGCTAGGTAGTGGCAGGGTCGGCGCTGGGACCTGAGTGTGCTGTGTACCGTAGTCAGGCCTTCCCTCCTAAATCTCGGATCGGATGCGGTCATGCATAGTGATTCAGGGCCATGTATATTGATTTTTAGTCGGCCGATGATGAAATCGATGAGCGGATCGTTCGTCCCGTGGTAAGATTGTCCAGCGTTTTCCCGGTACCAATTGGTGGGTTATTCATAGTCAGGCAGAGGTACCGACGCCGTGGCTGTAGGGATCCCACATCCAAATTCTCATTTTCCGAATGCTCGAATCAACAAAGGCCGTAGAGGAGGGGGTACGAGAAGGCTGGAGGATGCGAGGTGTTCGCGGCCCCATTCAAGAGCATCCGATGACGTCATAGTCATTTGCTTTCGGCGTGGCGTTCGAAAGGGCAGCCGCGGTGGAAAGAAACGGACGATCGCGGTCAATCTTTTCCTTCGATGAGATTCCAAACCCCCTCACCTGGTCGGGAATGATCTCGAGATTCAATTTGGGGCGAAGAACAATGTAATGAATTGGAGTGGAGGGGGGGGAGCTTGTTTGGATGGTCTGTGGTTTGCAAGCCCGGGGGGGCAGGAGAAGAGCTCCTTTGTGGTGTGTGCTTTGAATAATGCATTCAAGTCAGTCTACGCGCACACACACACACACAGAGACACACACACGCAGCACACACATCCATTACCCACTTGGCTAGTCCCATGTCAATCCCCGCCATGATATAGTTGGTTTCCACCTGCCTGTCGCCTCTTGGGTGGCAAATTCCATTCCACTTTCCCCCCTTTCTGTATGAGAGATTGATCGATCATGCCATACGGTGTACATGATGTGCATGAATCACTCATTGTTGAGACCACTGTATACCTATCGCATCATCCACCACCCCTACTTCCATAGTAAGGTACCAGGCACAGTCGACAGAATGGGGCTTCACCGAGATTGGATGGGTCCGTGCTAATGCAACAGGATTTAGTCCATAGCTCGAAATTAGCCTGCAATGGGCCGAATGGTTCCATCTTTCTGGTGAGTTATGGCAGTGATAGTCGTGACAGTTCACCACTCCGTATAGCGGGAACAAAATGATAGCCGAGACGGATGAAGAATCCGCATATTCTAAGTGGGTGCAGACCCTGTGTTTGTGTATCTCAAACTTTTCTCCAACAGACTGATCAGATACCATGAATGGTGAAAGGGAAGAGGGGCTTTCAATCCTGGGTGGGTGCATCACCTGGCTGGAGCATGCATGATGGCCTCTGCAAAGCTGGCCGGAGAAGCATGCTTAGTGATTACACAGCCTTAGGTGAACGAGCCAATGGCTCGGTGAAGGGTGACACTGTGTGAAACCCATCGTTAAGATCATATCGACTGGTTTCCCTTTTGTCCGTCTTGTTTCTTTTCGGGAGGCTCGAGGCAAAATTGTGGTAGAAAGGTAGGTAGAGGCTGCTGCTGATTCGCCATGGTTGAAGCTTTGAGGCTGTTGGGGAGGTTCCGGAACGATCGATTCTCGGGAATCTCTCCCACATCAGAAAAGGGCGTCAACATTCTATTGATACCATGGAATTCTGGCTGGAAGATTTCTGGCGAAGAGATTGTGTGGTTACCAATTGGAACTGGAGCATCATCTCTACTAGACAAGTGAGTATCCTATACTAGGATATTAAGCTTACGTATCTACTAGTGGTACGTGTGAGTACTTACTACTACTACTACTACTTTACCCAGTCTGGGGGTTTCTAGTCGTATCTAAACCGGTAACCACGCGAATAGTATTGTGTACACTGATATCTATTATCTCAATACCGAGGTATAGGTACAGAATAGATGTATTCAAATGCTAACATTCAGCGACTAATAGAAAATTTGAGCATTTGGGCACCATTCAGGCATCCTAACAAGGCCATGAGAAGCAGTACTCTTGTCACGCATCACACAGTAGCTTTGTGTCGACTGACATCCCAGACCACCTATAGAACATATCGTTGTGAAAGAGTCACTTTGGCACACTCCTTCTGGTATTGATACTGATGGATATAAAGGTAGCCTATACAGAAGATCGTCCCTTTCTTTGGAAGTCTCCTTGCATCTCAGAAAAGGTTCCCGGTCGGAGCTTGGATTGAAGGGCACGCCATGTACCAAAAGGCATGAAAGTACCCAATAAGGCCAAAGGGGCCTTTAGAGAAGAAGCCTTGCTGTCTTTCTCCAGCTCTACCACTTATGATGAGACGGTTTCAACGACTTCAACGAATTCAGGTCTCAAGTCGCAGAAGACAGCGCGATCTCCACTTCAACAAAGCTGCCGCTTAGCGTGACCTTAGGAGCACCGTCGTCAGCAGCCTCCTGCAGCTATCATTGGTTCTGCGCCGGACTTCTGCACCCTAGCAAACTCGTCCATTTTCCCATCCTGGGTTTGATCATTGGGGTCTTTATCTACTAGTTGTGGTTGCTTGACTCATACAACCGTTCGGGATCAAACCCCCGAAAAGTTGAAAAAGTCAAAATAAAATACCGACAGTGGCCCCGGCAGAAGACGCGCCTGGGGCTAGAAGGAGATGAGAAGTGGGAAAAAAAAAAAAAAAAAAAAATTTTTGAAAGAAAGAGAGCTCGGAAAAGTATTGATAGTGGGGGGTTTTTGCCATGGTGCTGACCGCGACACATGCTACGAAGGACCCAGCCACGCCGCTGGTGGCGGCTCGGATTGGACCAAGGGGTTTCCGGAAAAGGACGATATGAAGTTGAAGTGGTGTTGCATTGATTGGCTGGTATCCCATCCGGTCCCCCAAATCAGGTGTGGAGCCTTCCGAAGCACTGCTAGTACGAAATACTCCGGTACATGCGGTGCCACAAATTTCCAGATACCGAATAGGCAATAGACAGTGTTTCAAAGGACGGGGCTGGATTCAGGAACGGGTAAAAGGATGGCTATCAGCAGAGAAGAAGCGAATAATAGTAAAAAAAAAAAAAAATAAAAATAAAACAGGAACCAAGACACAAGAAGGGGGTGGAGGTGGGAAAGAATGGATCAAGGGAGATCAGAAGCTCCAGGCGACGGAAGAATGAACCGACGAGGAGCAAGCCGGTGAAAGCGAAACAGGCTAATATATATAAAGTATAACAAGTTCAGCGGGAGAACCAAATGTTAAGGTCCTAGTACCACAGATTGAGCGGAAATCAAATCTTGGTACATACTAAAAGTGCAATATTCCCATGCAGACGATCAAAATACTACAGTAGTTAACCTTGGAGACCCGGAGGACAATATGAGTACTTGATGTATTGCATAGAGGGGCAACAGTGCCGGATTTTTCACTACTACTTTTGAGAGACTACTTATATTGGATTCGTATCTTCTACACAGCACTAGTGGCTTTTGTTCTAATTCCCTCTGTCTGAGTAAATAGGGGAAAAAAGAAAAAAGAAAAGGAAGGACTTTCATAGTTTAACATGTACTACTTTAGAGGACCAAAGCTACTTCATCTTGTGGTTAACGATGCAGGCAGAAGAATTCTGCAGGATGATCGCATCCCCATAGAGGCTTTCATAACCTACAGGGCCTGCAGCCACAACCAAAAGAAAAAGGGGGGAAGGGATGGGCTGCATACGTGCCACAACTCCCGCAGAAAGCCGAGCAGCAGGAGTGGTTGTTTTGACGCTGTACACAGTAGTAGGTAGGAGGTAATGCTCACTGGGCGGGATGGAGATCGGGCCCTAGTGGGAATGTAGTACCCTTGCCTGGTCAGGTGGCAGACTATTTTGTACTAAGGTTAGCTTTCGCTATCACCATCCATTAATTATCAATACTATTACAATGAGTCCGTTATTATATACTATTTTTTTGAGGTACTAGAAGGGGGAAAAAAGAAAAAGAAGAAGGAGAAAATAAAGTCCATGAAGACAAACGCCGACTTCTTCTACTTCGTTCTTTTTTCTTTTTTCTTTTTTCTTTTTTCTTTTTCATTTTCTTTTTTTTTTCCCTCTCTTCACAGGTAATCCCCATCCCAACTTTTGCCTCCACAATCGCTCCCCGTTGTTCTCTTTTCCTTCCTATCAGCTCTCAGAATGACTAGTTATGAGGTGAACCGATCCTTGATCCCGCATAACAATGAGCCATGGGCCATGACGGGATTTGGGTGACCCATTCCGAACACCGTCTGGAGCTTCGACAATCACGGTACGCAGTATCACCAAAGCCTTGTTCTTATTTCCCCACCACCTCCAGTCTATTTGGTCTTAGGGCTGGCCGTGGCTTAAGTTTCTCTCTTACTATTCTTCCACGCCCCCCTCCCCAAACACAGCAGAGCAACAAATCTGAAGAAGTGTGTATGCACACGGGCCAGTGGTTTTTGTTTCGTTTTACCTTTTCTTTTATTCCCTTTTTCTTTTTTTTACTTTTCATACTTTTTTTTTCTTTCCCACCCCCAACTGCACACCCCTCCCTGTCCCTCCTCCCCACTTCTTTCCCCTTTCCAATTGCATGTTCGCTTTCCCGAACGGTCTTCCCCCGAAACTCACCTGGTCTTTTCTCCATTCAAGTTCTGTTTCTCTCTATCTATTATTATCTTTCGTCATTGCCATCTTCTCTTTTCGGTAAATGTTTCAAGGAAGCCACCTGGAAAATTATCTACCTAGCTTTTCTGAAATCTGCAATCGCCACCCACTTCGGTCCAGTTTCTCTTCCTTATGATGTTGATTGTTAATGCATCTCAAGTTCTTAACGCTGCCTAGATCCTCCGATCATCCAATAAGAAATCCTGATTCTTCAGCGTACTACTACTACTAGTACTACTAAGTACGTCGTTTTAGTGACCGCCGTCGACACAGACCTAAGGGCAGCTGTAACCACGGAGCAAAAAGAAAAGAAAAGCAAACAAAATTAAAAAAGACACATGCTGGCGAGTGGTGTCGCGCTGTAGATCAATTCTTCTCTGGAGCTATAAATCTCCTGCAGCTGTCAATCCCGATGGTCACTGCCACGCATGCACCTCGGGCTAAGGCCCATCAAACGCTCGGAACCAGTACATGCAGGACCCTCTCGAATTTGCCACCTTCCAGCAGTGTCATTTACTACTACAACATTACCTACTACTAACTCATACCACCAAAGCGGGTTGGCTACGCTCCTTTGGGTCCTCGCAATATCACTGGCAATCCCTTTTTTAAACTGTCAGAGGAAGATCCATGGATTCCACCGGCTGGGGACAGAATTCCGGTACCCAATCATGGCCTCCCACAAAAGCCATCGATGCCATCGAGACCGTCCATTTCACCCTCTTGCCAAATGACCTTTTTGACTTAACCCAAGTAACCCTAAGCACGACGCAGTCCCCATTTCTCAATGAATGTGGCTGTTTTGTCGTTTTTTTGGGGAGGGGGGGGGACATGCCACCTTTCCGGGCCTTCTTCCTGAAGTGAGCCACTTTCCCGCTCAGTGTGATTGGAGTATACTCTCTTTCTCTCTCCATCTTGTTCATCTTATTCCTTTCCTTTCCTTTCCTTTTCCTTATATTTTTTTTTCTTTTTGCCCATGTGGATGCTCTCCTCTCCATTACCATAATTGTCTGTTTTATTCTATTTTCATTTATTGATTCCCCTATCACTACGATTACTGCCATTACTACAATTGTTATCATTGCTGTTGTTATTATTATGATTATTACTCTTATTATTATTTCTTGTGGTTGTGGTTGTGGTATTGATTTTCCCCGTCCTATCTTTCCCTGTGCTTCCAACCCCTGTTTTTCCATTGTACCTTTTTCATCCTCAACCTTCCCCTAGACTCTTGTCTTCCTTGTGCATCCACAGTCATCTTGGAAAATCGCGGAAAAAAAAATAAATAAAATAGGTCGAGAGGGGCTCTTCTTCTGGTGGCCAGTTGACTTCATCGGCGCCTTCTTCGCTACCTCTCTTCCCTCCGGATCCCCGGTACGAGCAAACCACATTTTTGTTCTTGCCTGTGTCTGGGTGAAATTTCCGGGAAAAGATCGGGATCGAGCTTGTTGTCGATCGTGTGTGGTAGTTGATTGGGCCTCTGCATGGGAAAAGAACTAAAAGCGTTGAAGCAAGGCCCGATCCGCATCGCAGCCCCGATTTTTAAACTGTGGATATCCTCTAGGCTGGAGGGAGCCACAGCCACAAAGGGGGGAAGAAAGAAAAGAGAGAGAAGGGCGGAGGAAGGCAGAGAGACAGGAGTCCAGATCATTGGGCTTTCACGGTCTCACGATCCTCTGTGCGCCACCACCGGCCAGTCGCCAATATAGACTTGGCTTGGGTTCTGACGAACACGTCCCTAGGGGGGCCCATTATTGCCCTCATTTCCGTTCCGATAGTCTTCTTTACCCACCTGGCTGTGAAGGACCTGCCCTTCCGAGCTCTGACGGTCAGAAGATCCGTTGGACTACTTGGGCTCTGCTGACCTGGTTGGTCTGAAGGGCCCTCCTTCTCCATAGTCTCCGCTTCAGGCCTGGCTACGGTGCGTCTACACAAGGATTATTCATTATTATCGTGATTATTCCTCCCGTCACCGACATCAAAGCCACCAACTGTTGATTGCAGGGTGCTCCTCTTTCTGTTATCATCGTGGGGGGCACGGTCTTTCTGTCATCGCTCTCCCTGCCTGTTCACATCCTAAGGTATGTTTGGCGATAGTCGTCTTTATCTGTCCCCCTCCTCTTCCGTTTCTTTTTCCTTTCCTTCGGTTGCGATCCCACAGGACTGTTTGGTGTTTCATTTCCCTTCACCCTTCACTTTGCAAGTTCACCCACCCCCCCTGGCTCAACGCCCATGGGGGAGAACACACCCTTTTGCAATTAATTGCCTTCCCCTACCAATACCTGGATAATCCACCTCAATAGTCACAAATGTCTGCCAATTTTCCTATACCTCTGAAACTGCCAGGGGGAAGGAGAACGCGGCTTCTGTGGTGGTTGCCACAGGCGCTCGAGGGACAGACACCCTATTTCCTCCAATTTGCAGTGGCCCATCGTCTTTTGGCGTGATTAAGGACCACTACGGCACAGTGCTTGTGCCCTACGTCCCTCTTCGCCGCGACGCTCGTTTTCTGGTCTCTGTGGCGTAAAAGAGCCTGGAAGTTGCTACTATATACCATCTGTTTCCCCTCGTGCATCTTTCTATACTGTCTTATTTTTGCCCTGGCCTATGGATATTATTTCCTGGTCGTGGTTTTGCACCGTGCCTCTGTGCGCGTAGCCGCCTATGCCCCTCCCTTTTTTTTATGCCTCTGATACCCAATTGTCCCGTTTATAATCCTTTCCACGCTTGATTTGTTCTCCACCCTTTTTTTTCCTAAGGCAGCGCGGCGATTCGTGCGTGCATCTTTTACTGAGTGGCCCCGTGTCTTCGTTCGCCCAGTCCTACAACTGCACTGTTTGCCCCCAAAAAGAACCCGACGATTTAGCACTCAGATGTCAGGCGGACCTTCCCTTGTGTTTTGGTGTGCTCGCTCAACCTCTTATAATCGTCTAAGTGTTTCTCTTCTTCACTCTACATATCCTCTCTGGCCTACATCACTTTGTTCTATTGGTTCATGTGTAGATTCCGCGTCCTTCTTTCTCACGTTCTTGCTTGTACAAGTCAGTAATCCCACTCGTCCATGCCTTCTTACGCGACCCAGTTGTCGGGGACCTTTCCACCCTCTTATTGATCCTTCTTGTTGTTTGTGGCTTTTTCTCCCCCCTCTTACTTCTTCGTCTTCTTCTTCTTCTTCGTCTTCTTCTTCTTGTCTCTTCTTACCGCAGCCTCAGGCTATCAGTCTTCCTCGCTTGTGGGCATTTGCATTCATCGTCCCTTTACTTTGCAAAGCACACCGTCTGAACTTTTTGTGGAAGTAATCAATCTTTAAGACACCGTCAAGGCTCTAACCAGTGTTTGCATGTCCTAGGCACATCACTTGGCTCCCCAGCGGAATTATTACCCGCAAATTTTAGAGCGTACTTGAACCCACAGGTTGGGGCAAGGTAAGTTGTTGCACCAGTCCCTCGCCAGCCCCCCTTTTAGGCTTCCGAACCCCCCAGGTATATTAAAGATGATTCAACTAATCATGTGGAGGAGTGTGCCTGTGCTGGGTTTATCGTTTGTTTGTGTCTATCATGACATATCCCAATGGTGACGCTCCTTCGGCTCTCTCGAACTCAACGCAGGGGGGTCCGAACGGAGCCAAACCACAGGCCTTCAATAAGTCGCATGAAGTAGAGGAGCCTCCTCCACAATCAGGTATGTTTCTTACCTGGGATAATTTCTCTGTGGGATCTCTGGTAGAACTGAAATCTGGCTCAGTGTCGACAATCACCACTTCCCGCGAAGCTCCTCGATCGGATAATGACCAACAACATCCCAAATCACAGGCCCAGATGGCACAGGCCGCACGGGGAGGGGCGCCTCCATTTAGCATGCGTGACATGAGATCCGCATTGCCTGGGTATCAGAGCCATTCCATCCTATATGAGCAGCATCATATTCAGCAGCCCTTTGTTCCGACAGCTCACCCTCACGGCCTTGTATACGCAATGCAGCCATTGCCGTCATTTACGGGGCCTTCAATGAATCCTAATATGGCCTTCAACGGTCCCTTCAATCAGGTATACACGCCTTATCTTCAGCAGCAACCCGAGGACCCTCTTCTGCCTCCCGGTGCGGCGGGTTACCAGTCTTTGGGGCCCCATTCAGCCGCTCACATGAATGTCCATATACCTGGCCAATCTGGATACGGTCCAAACTATTACACCCAGACCACATACACAGCAGCCCTTGGACACGGCCCGGGTCCTCCGACTACATCATCTCCAGTGCAAGTGCAGCCACGCGTTCAGCCTCGGAATACACTGGGTCCAAAAACCAAATTGACACCCGGCTTGGGGAAAGAAAATAAGCAACGGCGTCTGGATCTGGAATATGACGTCTCCAAGACCATCGTGGACGGATCAACACCTATGAGGCCCCACCCCGTTCAAACATTTCCTGCTGGTAAGTCTGGGCCCGACCATGCGAGCAGCGAGTTATGTGTTTTTGACATGACTTCGGTATACCAGACTCAGGATCGCATTCATCTAATACCACTACGTCAAGTGCTCCAAGGGGACCGCCGCGAAAGCCAAAGCAATCTGGACATGCACTGTGGGTCGGCAATCTTCCTCCCGGTACCAATATTGTTGACCTGAAGGACTACTTTTCTCAGAACGCCACAAAGGAACTCGAGAGCGTCTTCCTCATCTCTAAGAGTAACTGCGCATTCATCAATTACAAAACGGAGGCCGCCTGTGCTGCGGCATTGTCAAGATTCAACGACTCTAGATTCCATGGAGCACGTCTTGTATGTCGGTTACGCCAAGGGGCTGTTTCGCTGAGTTCCAATCCCGAATCTATGGGCTCTTCTACCCCTGCTATATATCAAGATGAAGAAACCAAGCCATCGGACGCTGTGACTGAGAAGAAGGCAACAGAAGCTAGCCTTTCGCACACTCGGGTCCCTAGCAGATACTTCATAGTCAAAAGCCTAAGTGTTGATGACCTTGAAATCAGTCGACAGAACAGTATCTGGGCCACTCAAACTCATAATGAGAAGCAGCTAAACGAGGCTTATGAGGTGAGCTCTGTGCCCCCACCAGATAAGTCTTGTCGACAGGGGAGAATAATAGATCGCTGACCATCTAACAGAATGCTGATGATGTCTATCTCATCTTTTCCGCCAATAAGTCAGGTGAATATTATGGATATGCCCGTATGATGTCGCCGATACAAGATGACGAGAACTTGGCTATGGAGATGCCCTCGCGACTGGACAACCCCCCTGATCCTGAGGCTCTAGACGTGACGCCCACTCCAGCAACATCCACTGCGCCTAACGGACGAATAATCAACGACAGTGCGCGGGGGACCATATTCTGGGAGGCGGAGACCTCAGAGGATGAGAGCGGTGCGAGCAGGGAGAAGGAGAAGGAGAAGGTTATTCACGAAAAGTCGGAAGAAGCTACAGATATGGGGGCACAATTGATTGGGAAGCCGTTCAGAATTCGATGGCTTTCGACTACACGAGTTCCGTTTCATCGTACCAGAGGGTTGCGGAATCCCTGGAACTCAAATCGAGAAGTGAAGATCGCTCGCGACGGTACGGAGATCGAGCCGGAGGTGGGGTGGAAACTTTTGCAGTTATTCCACTCACAGCCTCAAGACTAGGACACACTGCATATCCTTCAGAAGAAAACGTAAGAAGGAATGTGACCACTGCGAGGAAGACTTGAAGATGCATAAGCGAAAAGAACAAAGGGCAGAGGGTGAGAAGAAGGGAGGAACAGATGGCTTGGGATGCTGAAAAACGAATCGTCCGGCGCCATACTGTTGCAACCTAAGTTGGTACTGCCCCGAGAGACCTTCCCATCCCACTGGGAGTGTGTCGAAAGCGGACATGCTTCACCTGGAGTATGTCTGCCTCTAGGGCCACACGCCCTCTGCTTCCCGGATAAGGAAACACACATCCTGAGGACTGGTCAAACACCAGAGGTATACGAATAACTCCTCAAATCACTGGGGCCGAGATAAGACAGTACACGTACCTTATCTACGCCATATCTATATAGAAAGCTATACTGCATTAGAAGAAAAACAAAAACGGACATGGTCTGGGATATAAGCAAAAGACCAAAAGAAAAGCAAAAAAAGGCCCACAGACTTGACACATGGCATATGAGTATTGGCATGTTTTCTAGCTCGAAATAAAAAGGCACGGCTCCCAACACAGCTTTCATAAGCGCATAACAAGATCAATATATATATATCAAACCTTATAAGTTGCAGTTTGTACTCGGTAGTGCTTCCGCAAAAGGATAGGTGAAAATCAATACCGTATCATCATACATACGAAGGTCTAACTAATATGCATAGAAAATAATACCCGTACGTAACATACCGGGTTTATATGGTATATTCATAAGAAACAACAGTACTATGTAAGGTATGTACTTTTGGCATACCATGCATACCAGAGATGCCGCATCCTTCCTACCCTTGCCTACTTTTGAGTAAATTCAACAACAGCCAAAACAGTACTTTTGTGACCGGAAAGAATATTCATGAGTGATGCGCTGATAAAAGATACCTACGGCTTCTCCTTCTCTTACTTCAACGTCAAGTTGTGAAGAGAACGAACCAGTGGTTGAAAAGTTAGGTACTTCGTAGATGATCTGTAATTACTGGGTCTATATGAATGGAACGACTCATGAATCATCGACCCCGGATCGTCTTGTCTGGTTCACCGTTCAGCTGCACCCTGCCCAAGAAGGCTAGACCCGTTCTGGCCCACGGTCAAGAGTCAATCGAGGTGGTTTTGTGGGGTAAAACCTTCCCAAGCTTTCATTCCTTTCCTTGTGCTCTCTTGTTGTTAAAGGCTCTCTCCCTCTCCCTCTCTCTCTCCCTTTTCCCCCTCCTCCCCCTTCTTTCCACTGGAATCGTCCCGTTCCTCCTCTTCTTCATCCCCTCCTCCCTTCAATCACCAACCGTTTGTCAGATTGCTCTTCCCAAGATCCCTGCCGGCTACGGCCTGGCTTTCTTCTTTTCTTCTCTTTCCCCTCCTTCTTCACTTCTTCACGAGCCACGGCTACTTGAAAGCTTACTGACTTTACCCACCCCTCTTCGAATCATTCCTTCACGCATCTTCCCCCTCCATCATCTTATTCTCAAAAGAAGAACCAATACATATATTCCTCACTATTCTAGCTACTACCCACCTAACCACTACCATCATATAAATTCAAGGTATTGGGGAGCATTGGGTGTTTGCATATTTCCAGTAAGTTGGCTTAGCCCATAATACACCGGTAGTGAATCCATCATTTGTTTCTTAGTTTCCTTCCTAGCACTGAGTCTGGACCTCCCTTCACTTTCATCCCTTTCCTCCCTTGCGCCGTGTTCCATAGCACTCAAGCGCTGGTTTTTGGTTCTCCGTTCCTTTTGCTCCTAAGATACACCCTCAACCATTACCACTGGATTGTATTGCCACCGCCACATGGAAGGTCCCAAGTTTGGGTTCTTCGCTGAATATCTCCCTCCGACTGACATTTTCCGGTATCTCCCATCTAGGTTTCTTAATGGGGGTTGTTCTGCTGCCTCTTCCGTTGCTCTCCCTATCGAAGCGGCTACCCGATTGACGTCATAAGTCTGGTATTGATTTGAAGGCTCATCATCAATATCTCCAATTTCAGTCTACTCTTCTTCATCTTAGTAACTCTAATCTCGGTATATCTATTTCCCATTCCACCTAGTGGTACCCTTGTCTGGGAGACTAGATATTATCGTTTCTCGCCTTATACTTGACTATCTGTCATCGTCCATCTACCCTTTTTTTTTCTATACTTGTGCTTGTGCTTGTGCTTGTGCTTGTGATAAATATCCTGGGACCATCGACTACCCATATCTGTTATCATGTCAAACGACCGGTCAACATCTCCCATCTCCGTACCACCCCCTTCGTCGCGCCAGCGTCGAGCATCTCTGGCATCCGGGATTTCCTTTTCAGATTATCTTTCGAGATCCGGGAGTCAAGGGGCTGCTGGCGCACCACCTAGCTCTATGGCCAATACGGTCGCTGGCAGTCAGCCGAATCATGGACGACGACTGTCGATAACCACATTGGGACTCTCTGGCTCCCCAACCCAAACTTCTCCCTTTGGGCCTCGACACATCCGTCATGGAAGTATCTCTAGTTCCGTGGGATCCAATTCGGCAAACCCAGAGGAAGCCGTGGTGGAAGACAACGAAAATGGACCTCCCAATGCCACCCCTAGCTCTCCTTTCACTCGACGTCTCTCCTTTGGTGCGCAGGCATTGCGTGATGCCCGTGGAGGAAGCATTGGTAATGGTAGATATCCCTCTTCTGCATCTCAGGCGGCTGGAGGGCGGCGCAATTCGTCGTTAGCCAGCCCTCCCTCTGCCCCTAGCCCCACAAACTCAACTGTTGCAAGTACATACAAAGCCTTTCCCCAGAACGATAGATCTAACCCGTCTTGGCGACAAGTAGGCGAAGGCTTCAACTGGTCTGAGGCCTTGCGGACTCGGGCCGAGCGAGCGCCGTCTTTGGGCGTTGTATCGCCTAATTCACCTCAAAACCAGCATGCAGTCAATATGGGCAACCAGAATCACCATCAGAGGGCTGCTTCGATT